AAGGTCTAGCATATCCCATACCGACATGATGCTCATCCAAGGACTACTAACATATTGTTACGAATGATGACGAAAACCACTGACAATCTTAAACAATATTTCGTAATGCAAGACTTTGTGATTCTGTTAAAAAGGAAAAATTTCTAAGTTCATATACTGCCAAGTATCAGTCTCAAAAATGAAACTTTTGCTGTTCTCCGTTGTCATGGTGTTCTCAGGCGAACAACAGCCGCAGTTTTGATTTGTGTCCAAAAACCAGAAAAGTGTACTTCAGATTAATGCGGAGCAAGTTTCCCCTCTGCAGCAAAAACGATATTCCTCTTCGAAAGTACAACTGCCGCAATAAAATGCGGTGCTCTGACCTCCTCTAATGCGTCCCCGACCAATGGAGGTATTTCAAACGAATAATTATGAACACAATTCCTCTATTTTACTTTCGGGTCGTCCTATCAAACCAGGCAGGGAACAGGCCCTTTGAATTCTGACAGCTTTTCTCAGACCAGAGAACATACATGCTTTTCTGAAATGCCAAAAACTACTCTGCCCATAAGTAAACCGAAAAGCAATGTTTTAAGAGGATCTAAGTCGTATGAAACAGAAAATACTAATTGCCTCGAACTGCTTCCAAGCCTCCAGCAACATCAGACGCTGTTCCTTTTCTTCACACGTTCGCAAAGCTTCATTCGCTTTGCGGTAAACCGCTCTTGTAACGTCCACTTTCTCTGGGCTGACAGACTGCTCAAATTTCGCCAAACTGATCCAAACCTGAAAACACTCGGTAATGAGATCGATTAGTGATGTGGTGCGATATCAATTTATTACCTTAACGTGATTTGTGCGGTCTAACAACAGGCGATAAAGCCGCCTTGCCTTGTCGTATTCTTCCTGTGTAGTTTCAAAGTCGATGTATGACTTCCACAACACCTCGGGCATATCCAGTGCCGGCTGAGCTATAGCCAACTCATAAATCCCTCTCGCCCGTTCGACGTCGCCCAAAAGACTCTCCATCTCCGCGAACTATACGGTAAGACATGTCATTGAAAGTCATAGTGATTAGCAGTGACAACTAGGATAAGACACCTCCATTAAGAACACGAAATCTAACAAATCATGTAAACGCAGCTTAGTGAACTTCATATGAACCAACTGGCAATTCTGAGAATAATTTAACAAAGTATCAAATGTATTACGAAACAACCTCAATTTTAAAACGCCAATAATGTCAAAAATGATACGTTAAATAATAAGCCTTACATATTGAATCTTATCACACATTTTATATGGCTTTCTTCTTCAACATTTCTTAATCATAAAATTGCAGTGTATGGCTACAAGATCAAGCGTTATAATACGGTAATCAATCACACGCACCAGTGCGATATATTCAAAAACAACTGTAGACTAAGTTGTTCCGTGATCATGCTCTGAAAAATGCATAAAAATGGTTTATTTATATACAACGCATGGAAACAAATGGTTCATCGGGTGACTGACCAGACCGACGTTGCAATGGCTGCAGATCACAGAACCATCTGCGGAAATCAACAAAGAACACCCTGAAGAAGGCCCATTCAGAAATGTCGGCAATGGCAAATCATCCGATTGACAAACTGTTTGCTTGCTATGTGTATAAATAAACAGTTTTAATACTTTTTCGTTTGAATTAACAACCGCAAGAAATTCTTTGCCTCGTCAGAATAGGCTGGGCAGTAGACCTGGAATTCAACACAGTGAAACTTGAAATGATGCCCAAAACTGAATAAAATCTGACAGCATCTATACGAACATGACGAACGAGCTAACTGACTATGAGAAGAAAAGAAGTCCGGCCAAAATATCTGAATAATGCAGTCGATCCTGAAAACTGGCAAGACAAGACTGCATCCAGAGTTACTAGTGGCAATATTTTACATGCATGCAGTACACTGATATCGCAGTTTCAGGCAAAATTTAAGGATCATAGTCTCACTCTCATGTCCAGCTTTATAACTAAAGGAGGTACGCCTTGCCTAAACAAATTGTTATGGCCGAGTCTAAGAACTTTCCGCCAATAATGCGCTCGTCGATCGTCTACAAGTTCTTAACATGTGCACTAGCGATGAAGATCAGATCGCACCTTCTTGCGAATATCATCTAAACGGAAGAGCTGCAGGCAAAGAAGCTCAAGGCCGCAAAGAACTGCTGATTATTTATGTATTTGTTGTTACCAACCAAGTCTGGATGCAAGTCGTAACATCTCACTTGGCTAGGTTAATTAACAGAAATCGTTCGACGCCTAACCACATTCATGGCTGAAGAAAGTGCTACGAATTTATAAGGTGGAATAAAATTTCGTTGCCCTCATGGCCCACTTCACAGACATGACAAATTCGCTTCAGTGTTGAAAAAGGTCCATATCGGTATGAGACAGAAACGATGCAGATCAGAAGAGGCATCCTGAAGGGAGACTGCCTCCGTCTTCTACGGTTCTGCTTAACATTAGAAACGCTTAGTAAGCCGCCACAAAAATCAAGAAATTTTTATGTAGATAACCTGAAACTGTACGAGAGAAATGCAAACGAATTCGAGTGTATTTTCATCATAGTATGTAGCTTTAGCAGGCCACAGCTAGACGGCTGCGCTTAGCTTGTGGCTGCTGACAAATATTCTGTTAAATATAAAATTAAACTTTAACAATTTCTCCCTTATACGAACGCCTGTTACAAAACACGTAACACGAAGCATTATACCGACGTAGCGTATAAAAGTTCTGATAAAAATAATACTGTAAAAAATAACTTTGAAAATAATAATTCACTAGACTGAGTTTAGAAATTGGCATTGGAAATATTACATATGATAAACAGAGAATACTGTCTCTCAAATAACGGAAACCCACCTATCGAACTGAAGCAGACCGACGATCGCAGTCGAATGCAAATTACGCTTGGTAACGAAAAACTGCCAATACCCCAACCCCAGGAAGGTCAAGAAGCAATGCGAAGACGTGTAATTATACAGTGGGAAGCAAAGGAAGGACACGTCCCTTTATGGTACGAGTGCATGGGCATAATCAACGAAAAACAATGAATGAACGAACGAGTAAGGAGACAGCAATTAACTAGTAGTGCGACAACCTCAACATGGACAGAGGATAGCAACTCTGCGGGGATAACATGACCCCTGTTATCTCCGTTCTTAAAAAACAATTAAATGCGTAGCGCGGATCGTAAAGATCGTCTTTCGCACGTCAACTTACAATCGGCTGCAGACGACAACAAAGACCGCAAATTCGAACTAAATTTTCAGTTAGAAGAAGACCCGAGAGACACAGACTTAAACCCATGTATCAGTCAATTGTCTAGCAAGGAGAAAGCCATGGGCTGTGCATAAAAAATCATTTTCATGATATTGTTCAGTATGCAAACACTATCAACTAAGCGTTGTGAAATAAGCTGAGAATGAACATGAGCAAACACGTGCCTCACGTCATACGAAGTCAACTCCGCCAATTAGGGTCGAAAGTTCCGATGAAAATAAAGGAGGGATGGAGACCGTATCTCTTCGCAAAACATTGCCACCTGTCCGTTATGGTAATTCCCTCATCGAACATTATAGCGGACAGGACGTCGCCAAGGTTAACAAGGACCACGGATACTGCTGGGACTAAGGCAGGCTGCATCACTGCGGTGATCAAAATCTGCTCAAGGCCTCTGGCAGCAAGGGACATCGTAGCACGACAGCGGAGACCGAAGATCAACAAAACGACGATGAAGATACCAATCAGCAACTGACTTTCTATCCGTTTTGAATGGAGGACATACAAAGTCGGGCGCCATTACAGCATGTTACCAAAGGTTGAACGGGAATGACATCGAAAATGGGAGCATACAGTCGAAAATTAGACCATCCTACCTCATTCAGAGAGAAAAACAGCAGGAGATAGTGGATAAGGATGCACGGTAGCAACTCGATATAAATGGACATACGTCACCAAGTGCCAGAACTCTGGAAACCTGAACCTCCACGAGTGTAAGCTATTCTACTCAGGCACAGACTCCAGACACGTGATCAGGCCGCTGTTAGTGTTCTGGTAAAACCAAACCTAGCTGAGAAAACCACTGAAAGGAAGCCTATCGGCGGAAGGGTGGCAATCTTCTGACAAGCTACAACGAGCAAAAAACGTTGCCTTTATTACAGGTCTGTGCGCCCAATTTAGAGGAAAAACATGGTTCCTTCCGTCAGAAAGTGCATTATACTCTGCATGAAATGTCGAATATGGAGCCCCTGATTAAAATGAGCGATTTCTTTGCGCATGTTTGAGCAGACAATGAAAAATGGAAATGCAATTTTGCAAAGAACGGCCTTAGCGACCTCAACAATAACGGCATGAAGTTGTTGCGGTTTTGTGCAAACAACGGATTGTCCATTATGAAC